ATTTTCTAAAAACGTGCATATTAAAAATTGATTTTTATAAAAAAATCATTTAACATTTTTTATTTTAAAAAATTAACCTATAGATAATTTCCTTTATTTTTTAAAAAAAAAATTCTTGTTTTTAATTATTTTATTTTACTTAAAATTCTTTTTAGAGTTAGGATCTAGGAATTAATTTTATCCGAGGCAATAATATTAAATAATAAAAAAAACTCTAATTTTATTAACAAAAATAAATCTTCTAAGCAAGTTAAAGTATTTGATTAATTTTTTCAAGTTAACGAAAGTGATTTAAAGTTATTTTCTTAATGAAATATGAACTTATTTACAAAGAAAAAGGCTTTTGTATTGTATTTGTATTGTATTATATATAGATTGGATTATATGGACATTAAATTATAGATTGGATTATATGGACTTTAAATTATAGTATTATACAACACAAAACTTCGGTGTAAGATGAAAATAGAGTAATTGGGGGCATTAAACAAGTACTTGACAGGGGCATAATTAAAAGCTCTTGTAAATAACACCAACTTTGAAAAATTTACCCGTGGCAAATGCCCCCTTATTCGTAACGTACGTCCGCCCATGCGCTATAGGTAAACCATTAATTTTCCGTTACCTATAAGAACCCCCCCCCCCTACCTATTGTAGGGTTGATGCAATGAGAGGTTGACTAAATCATACGTGACATGTTGTGTCCCTAGGGTTTTGGTGGCCGCAAGCAAAAATAACTTTTGGGCCACCTAATTATTGATTTATCCAAAAAAAAAAAAAAATCTTAAAAATGTACTTAGGGGAAATCGAATCCACGAGCCTCAACTCTTAAAACAGCACCCATTAACCAGCAAAGCTGATGACTTCCTACAGAAATTGGGGCCGATTATATTAATAAACCCTTGTACGGCCGTAAGGTGGTGCTTGGCTCGCTTGTAGTCATGGACGGCTCTGGTGTCACTCTTGATGTCTAAATTCCAGGGATTGTGACTTGCTATAGTGGTGAGATTTTCACGAGGTAATCAAGGAGTTGGCGGGTGATGTAAAGTAAGTAGCAATGGTATTTGTGAGTGTTGTAAAGCAGACTACAACTAATTAAGAGCATCTCTTAGCCGAGTGACCTTGTATACTGCATAATTGACATCAAAGGGTTACGTTGTTGGTTATTTTATTTTGAATTGTTCTAGGAACGTTAATAAGATATGAAGAGAAGAAACATGAGCCGAAGAAAGCAACTTAGCTTCATGATTGAGAAGTTTCTCATAAATCTCCATGAGAGTTGGTGGTGTATCACCGATTTGATCAATCACCGATTTGTAATCTTTTAGAAGGTCTTTAGATATATATTCAACTTGATCTTCATGATCAATCAATTTGCTAAACGGAGTTAGATGATCAAATGTGGTTGATAATCCTTGAAAGTACTCATTAATAATTTTCGATCATTTGTTCCATTGCTTCAGCTGTTTTATGTGGCATATATATGGTTTCACAAATGTTGAGGCAAGAGTGGACCACACATCTAAAACACTAGAGGCGCCAGAATGAGGAATCTGAATGAATAATATAACACCAATAAATATAATATAATTCAACTTATATTGCAGTATGCAGGCTTTACGTTGTTGATCTAGACCCGGCTTTAGGTGCTTTGAGTTTTGTTTCGTTTTCTTGGTGGCAGCTTGGAATGAGATTAAATGATAACTCTCTCCCGGTATATCTGATCTTGGTGGGTCGTTATTACCCTTTTATCTCCTTGATGGAGCAGTTTCTCTTCCCAACATTCCCTCCTATTTGGAGTGGGTTGGATGTTCAAGCGTTGTCGGTATTGCAAGGATCTTCCTCCCGGCGTATGCTCTTCTCTGCCTTTGATGCAGTTGTTGTAACCCTTCGGGTTGCGTTGGATGCGATCTTCCGAGATGTCTTCGAGATTGTTGTATTGCAATTTCTTATGGTATCTCGTTATGATTTGTATCGTCTATCAATCTCTTGTTTAACCATCGGCTGGTGGTCCTTTTTGGCTTTTGATGCCTTGCTTTCAAACTTCATGTTGTTTGTATTTTCCCTTTCCTTTGGATGTAATCCCTCCTCTTGTGATAGAGTTTGAGGCCTAATTTTATTAAAATTATCAGTTTGACCAAAAAAAAAAAAAAAATATTCAGCTTATATTAGGGCTTACATAAGGTAATTCTATATTAGGACTCATGGTACTAAATTTAGTGACTGAGTGGAATCTAGTTTTGGTGTAGCTCCATCAAGATAGGAAGCCAAGGCATACCCATCAAGGAAAAAATGCACTTAGCAATTCCATATAAGGTAGTTGGAGATTGAACATCATAGTTTTGGAAGGGTGTAACGAAAAGAAGAGTTCTTAGAAATCAACATAGTCACTGGAGAATGAGAGCGAGAGAGACAAAGAGAAGGAAATAGAAAGCAAAAACATAAAAGAGATGTGAGAAATAGAAAGATATATTTAAAACTGACGAAGAGTTGGCTAGATGATTTTACCTTTAGGTACCTTTTGCTCCGATATCATATATATAGAACGGTAATGAATTGAAAATTTATATTACTCTTTAGATAGTGTAGGGGTTTTGTATGTGAAAACAACAAAAACAATGTATATTCATTCTATACATCTGGATCTAGATCTAATAGTTTTGAGATTTATTCTTCTTCTTTAATATTCTTTATACATCTAAATTCGTACATACTCTTAATCTCTTATGTTGAAATTTTTTAATTGATGTTTTCTTACTTTACAAATATAGTTTCGTTATCAGCTTCTTTCTCTATGAACATAAATAATGTTCTAGAGCATTTGCATTGTTGAATAGGTGCTAACAAATAATTCTACAAAATTCGGACTACTTAGAAACCTTCTAATCAAATTAATTCATGTTGGTGGTTTGAAAATTTTCATGACCTTAGTTTTTTCCTTGTTGACTTATATCCATTTCTTAGAGATTTGGTTCCTAAGTTAGTTTGTGTATTCATATGACGTGGCACTTTTTCATGTATTTCCAAATAGATTTAAAATATTGTGTCTTTATGGAATTTAATAACTATTTGGTGTTCATCAATAAAAGTTTCTATATATTTAGGTAAATATCATTAAACAATATGTGTAGTTATTAGCCATGTCTACAAAATATTATGCTACTGCTCAGGCAAACCCAAGTGGAGTGGGCCTAGGTATGAATTAAGGATCAACATTTTTTATTTAAAGAAAAAAATACAAAATATACTCTAAGGATTTCTGAGACTTGTTTTTAGGTAAAGCGAAAAAAGTTGTTTGTCTGGTTTTCAGAATTGTAAACAAAAATCCTACAAAAAAAAAAAGAATTGTAAACAAAAATATAAATAAATTAACTATTAAACTTATGAATTAAAGGCATTGGGCTTTAGGATATTTCGAACAACAATGACTAGCAGAATAAATGTAACAGGGAATTCAGAAATAAAGAACCATTTTCAAACATGAACACAAATCTAGACTAAGGGGGGTGTATTGAAGAAAGAATTTGTAGTGATTTGAGTTTTAATGAGTTTTGAGATGATTTTGGTGAATTTTGGTGAATTAGGGAATTTGATATCAAAACTCTCCCAAATCCCACCTAAAACCATGGGATTTGGATATTTGTATTTTTAACTAAGATGTTCTCTGAAATCCCACAAAAAATCACTCAAGACATTTCAAATCCACAACTTAAAATGTTTCCAATAACAGTGGATTTGATTGTAGATTTTAAAATCACTAATCCAATAACACTTGATTTTAAAAAGATTTTTAAAATTCATGTTTGAATAACATAAGATTTATCTTTTTAATACAAATCATTTCAAATCCTTTATTGAATACACCCCCTAACTCTCTCTCTCAAGACATTAATCACGAAATTTGACTATTTAACTACTAAACTCTCATTTGTAGTTTCCTAATCAAATTCGCATTATCGAGTTGGTTCATTTGGTTCACAATGCGTTCTAAAGTAAACTTCTCGTTGGCTAAAAACACATTGCTCAATTTACATTGGTTCAGGCATTCTATCAAACACTTTTGATGCACAGAAAAACCTTTGTTCTAAAACAGGGAGATCAATTCTATTCTGGCATTAAGAACATGTAAATCGAAGAACCTATGGATGAAGAATCCCTAATGACAATTTATTTACAAATTCATTGGCTCTTTTACTTAGAACCCTAAAACTCAATTAAAGGACTACTCACTCATTGCAAAAGAAATATTACATAGAGTTATAAACGAAAACATGATTCAATCGATAAAACAAAAGATGGTATAGAAATCTTCTCTAAATTGTCAAAGAGGATGAAAATAAAAATTTAGGTCTCTAAGGTTCTTATACCCAAATACAGAAAATAGTAGATAAATCCGGTTAAAAAAAACCAGAACGGGATGTCATAGGGATGGATCGATCGATCATGTGGGTGGACCGATCGATCCAACCCTCTCTGGGAAGATTTCGTCGATGTTCATTGTTTGGATCGATCGATCCACTCCTTAGATCGATTGATGAGGCCTTCCCAGAGAGTCCATGCTGGATGTCATGATTTGGACCGGTCGAATCCACACCTTGGATTGATCAGTCACTTCCTTGATCCTTCTTCTCTCGAACATTCCTGGCCCGAACAAGCCCAATAATGCCCGAACACTCAAGACACGATTAAAAAGACACAAAAAAGGTCAACGACAAGACAAACAACTCAAAACGGAAACTAAACGAAAAACCAAAGACACCAAAAACGCAACTACTAGGCCGGACCTGCTAATATTATTTGCATATAATCTTAAATATATTTTAAACTATATAAAAATGTAAAATAATTCATAATTACTAGTCATGGATAGTGTCATGTTAATGTTCTCAAAATTAATTTCTGAACTACTGTGTTTTTCAAACAAAATTGGCGTCATAAATCGAGAATGTATTGATAAAAGGTACATGCATTTTCCAAAAAATTTAATGCAAAACAACAAAAATACAATCTATTTTTTTTTTTTTTTTGTTTATTGTCAACGATTAATTAATCCATAAATACAGAAACATAGGAAATATAATTGAATTCTAAACATTGAAGCAATAATCATCGAAAAAACATTGATGAAATGAGCTTTAGAGGACACCTAGCTGATCACAATTATCATCTAAAAACCATTGATGATTGAGCTTTAGAGGACCCCTAGCTCTCTGAGAAACGCAACACATATATCAAAGAAGATAAACTGAGGTCCATCAATTCTTTGGATGTCCAACAAATACTTGCCTTCACGTACTTTGTATAGCTACAACAACAACAAAAATTATACAAATTAGGTTTGAAGTAAAAAAATTGCTCTAACTTGATTTTAACAATGTAAATTGTAGATAATTTTATGTTCTCATCACATAAAAACAAAAATTCTTTAGGTGTAGCCTACCGAAAAACAATTGGTCCTCTATGGACTATTAAATTCTAGTATGTTATCTTAAATTGGATAAATATACCTGAAGTTCAAATTTGATGATAATACATTCACCCTCAATTGTATGATTCTTGTAGTTAGCAAGGCTTCGGACCCTTCTACATTTTATATTGTAGAGTCCGATTTTTTTCCAGCACACTTTTAGATTTTGAAGAGCCTTAAAAATTTCATTCATTATATCATGAGGACTCCCTTGAGACTGTCAAAATATTAAACAATTTTTTTTTTTTATATTGATAAAATGTTTTGAGTGATAAATTATTATGCTAACAAAAATAATCGAAAAAAAATTAAGAAAAAATGAAAGGAAATTGAATGTTAAAGTAATATGAACAAAAAAAAAGATTAAACATTAACCATGGACTAACCTGAAGGCCAAGGGTCCATGTTTTGTCATCTTTGACATGTGATTTTAGTCCATACAATGCCGAGAATGAATGGCCAACATGTGAAGTAATATTTTGAACAGCTGGAAACGTCGAATTAAATATACCACCCTATATTTGTAACATTAAAAAGAAAATATAATTATATAGAGAAGTAAATTTTATAATTCAGGTTGTAGCGAAAGAGAATAAGTACCGATATCTCTTTAAAGTTGGATTGGAAAGGGTCATTAGGAACAAAATTTTGGTTTCGGTTATCTAGTATTAGATGGTATGCAATTGTAGCCTGAAATAATGAAACATTTAACATGAGTATCATTTATAAAACTATTTAAAGTATAATAGAATAATTATATGAAAATATGAAAACACTCATACCTCGTTTTGGATTCTATTGACAAGAGATTCAACAACTTGGTTTCTATCAAATCCTATGTTAACTACTTTTTGAATTATCTCCTCATCAATCTAGAAAGAGTAAAGTTAATACAAAAATTAATGAATTCATACAAATGATGTTATTTTGGTACAATATAGTGAAAAAATTTCTAACCTTTTTAGCTTCTTCTATTGTATCTAATGGAGGCATATAAAGATAAAGAGGAACATGATTATTGAACCAAGGATGTTGACGAATCTCAGTAATGCTAATTCTCATCAGAGGATCAACCATAAGCATTCTCGGTATCAAATCTCTAGCAACATATGATAAATGATCTGGAAGAGTATACATTCCTTTCTAAAGTAAAAAAAAAAAAAACACATAAATATATCACTGAAAAACCATGTATAATAATAGATGAGTTTATAACAATAGTGTTGTCTATTAATACCTTTATTTTATCGAATAGAGTAGGAATATTTTCGTCGTCGAAGGGAAGAGTACCGCACAATAGAGCATATAATATAACCCCACAACTCCATATATCTACTTCTGGTCCAGAATATGGTTTTCCTGAAATAACCTATAAAAAAAAATTCGGTCGTGAGTAATTGATGCTTCAAATATATATCCAAATTCTTGAAATAAGAATGATAAATATGTTAGTTTTCTATACCTCTGGAGCAGCATAATTAGGGCTTCCACAACTAGTCTTTAAAAAATGACCATCATGCATGACATTACTCAATCCAAAGTCAACAATCTTTATGTTACATTTCGAATCCAAAAGCATATTCTCAGGCTTAAGATCTCTATGAACGATCATATTGCGATGACAATACTCCACACCAGATATGATCTGAATATATATGATTGTAATAAATTGTTCCCAATATAAAAAGATATAAAGTCTTATGAAATAAAAAAGGATATATATACCAAACCTGCTGAAATAGATGACGAGCCTCGTCTTCTTGCAATCTACCTTTTTCTATAATATAGTCAAATAATTCTCCAGACTTAACATATTCCATCACAACATAAATGTTATCAGGCGTCTCTATAACTTCGTATTGACGGATGATATGAGGATGCATCAACAACCTTAGAATTTTGATCTCCCTTTGTACTACAAGAGACAAAACAAACATTTATTAAGATTATTAATATAAAGTAACGATTATAGTATCATTTTACCTCTCTCCAAAATTTCGTCCACAAGACAGAAAGTGTAATATTGTTTGTCACATAAACTAGTCCCACGACACAAAAATAGTTCGTGACAATGAACGATATTAATAAATAGTATTTCCGCTTCGAGACCTAGATTGGATAAAAGTATTTTTTAGAAGAAACAAAATTTAAAAATAAATCTATTTTGATGATTTCTCAATATAAAATATGAAAAAGATTAAAGTAAAATCCATACAAACAAACTATTTATATTATCAAAACCATATATTGATCATGGTGGATAGCCGAAATCTCATAAACCTATTAGATCTCATTAAGAAAAATAAATATATATATATAGCGAGAGATATTGTACCTTCTTAAACTTAGTCAAAATGAAAAAGAGTAATAAAAAAAGTAACACATACCTTTGATCTCAATACCCATGTTCTTAATCTTAGCACGATTAAGGATTTTGATAGCAACTTTGTGCCCAGTAGCTACATGCAGTGCTAATTTCACTTTCGCAAAGGATCCATGCCCAAGAGTTTTACCAATCTTATAATTCGGTAGAATTGATACCATTCTATTGGTAGTTTTTTCCGATGATCCATCCATTTTACTACAGATAGAAAATCAGAAATATATAAGAAATTATAATTAAATCTCTATAAAAAATATTTAGTAAATTAATAATTAAATAACAGTAAAATGGACGGATCATCGGAAAAAAACTACCTGTAAAATGAACAATAGAAAATAATTGACGGGGAATCTAACTAGAAAACCCAAAAAATGGTGAACGTCCCAAATCAAAATCATCTTTCAGCGAAATTCATTTCGTTCATGAATAGGTGTCCTAATTGAATGAAGAAATTTATGGGTTGACTGATTATATAAATAGTAAAAAATCAATAGATTCCCATAGAATTCATGTTTTTCTCTCTAACAAAAACTTTGAAATTTAAAGTTGTAGAAAAATGATTCAAACGCAGAAGACTCTTAACATAATCTTATAGAGTAGGGTTGATGATAGAGACAAATTGGAACCCACGATATAAATATGAGCACACACGAAAAATTTGCACCTCTAGAAAATTAAGGAAAAATACAAGAAAGGAGTAATTGTATACCTCTAAAGAATTGAGGAAAACTACAAGAAAAGAGTCCAAGGGCACATATATTAAACCTCTTTCCTTTGTTTGCTTCCCTACTTTGCTGATGTAAATCTGAGTCACACTTTTGACCAATGGTGTCACACTTTTTTCATGAGTCATTATATGACAAGATATAAATTTTCACACAATCATGTTAAAAAATCAGTTTCTGTTTTATATTAATAGTAATTGTCTAATTATAACAATAAATATTAAAATATATTAGTAAAATTGTTAGATTTTTATATTTTATATAGTAATAGAATCTAGTTATTCAACATTTTTTAAGACAAAATTATCTTTCCTTGAAAAACAAATTGTAATTAATGTTATTGGTGCTTTGACTATATAATGTATATTTCTTTCTTATTTTAAAATAGGAAATAATTAATACTGAAAAATGTAACAGATTTTTTTATATTTATAATTTCCTTCAAAATTTGATTATATAAAAGGACGTTTTTGTTAATAAGTTACTACATCTGATAAATTTAAATTCTTGTTAGTTAAAAACCTTAATGTAAGAAAAAATGTGTTAAATTTAAAATGATTAGACAAAACAAAGTTTTCTAAAACAAAACAAACTACAAATGATCAGTAAATTCTTTGTCTTGTTGTTGCTGCTGCTGCTCTTCTATCGTCCTCTTGAATCGCAAAGAAAATGACTATTGACACTAAGACGCATGCACCAAGTATTGCCAGTACTATAGCAACTAGAGCTCTTCTATCGTCCTCCTGAATTGCAAAGAAAATGACTGTTGACACTAAGACGCATGCACCAAGTACTGCCAGTACTACAACAACTAGAGCCTTCAAAACATCGTAGGTCATGGATCCGTCCGTTGACTCCTGGCTGCTCGAATCGAACTCAGGAATTATTGAAACTATTTCTCATGACCTGCAAGTTAAAAAAGTAATCACTTTATTCACAGATTTTAAAATTGAACATCTCTTGAGCATTAGCTCGTATCTTTTGAAATAACCTCCTAACGCTAGAGAACACGCACTTAGCACAATTAAGAATAAACCTATTGTGGATCCATATAAAAAACGAAGTAGCAACATTGCATATCTTCAATGCAATATAATTAAGATTCAAAACAACACCGAACATTCACATATATATAATATGGTGCTGTTCGTTTGGCAGTCGCATGATCATGTGACTAATCGCGCGATTAATTGCTACGACTTGCGACTGATTTTTTTTATCCCAGAAAAAATTAGCGATGCGACTTTTTAAATAACGATTAGTCGCAGTGACTAGTCGCGCGATTGCGAAACGAACAACATCTTGCGATTCGAAATTGCAGTCGCAGTCGCAATCGTCATGCGATTACGAAACGAACATGACCGTACATCCCTTATGTAAAGTGGAAGTAAGCATCAATATTCAATGCCCTATAAACGGAGAGTCTACTTGGCCGTTAAACGGAGAGACTTCAAAATTGTTCACAGGAAAGTTATAGTCTTTTGCATGGACATGGACATTTGTCAGTGTTTCTATAGGAGAGGCAGCATAATTGGCAGCTTCATATCTTCTGTAAGAGAAAACACATTAACTCATCGTTAGAATTTGATGAATCTAGGGTTTGTGGAATCATAGTAACCAATATTATAAGATAACAGAGATGATAGGTTTGGGTGAACATATATCTCTGTACCAACCAGTGGCGGAGGCAGAATTATTTATCATCGAGGTCATATATTAATATAAATATATAATAATTTTGAAAATTTTAAATTTATAGAACTAGGGAGAAAGAAGAAGAAAAATAATATTTACGTAAAAAAAAAACAAAAGATGAAACCCTATATAAAATAGGATTAAGAGTTAAATATTATGTATTATACCTATAACGGTTAGTCAAAAAAATTGGTTAGAGGATGCAAATGAAGAATATGAACTAGAAACATAGGGTTCATATTACATTTTTAAGCTAAATAATTCAAATGTTCTAACTAAATAAGCTTATAAATTTTTTTTTTATAAAAGTTATGGGGGTCAGTTGACCCCATTGCCCTCTATATAGCTCCAACCCTGGTACCAACCGCCATGGAAACTTTAGTTTCAGGGACAAGGTTCGCGAATAAGAGAAAGTACTTGTTTGGGGGAAGTGAGAGGGTAAGATTGGTTGAATTTTGAATTTGGTGGAGGAGAGAGATCTCTGAATGTGAAGAGATTGGTGACGTAGTGCGAATCTATAACGCATAATTTAGGGTTCACTTGTATATCGAAGATGAATATTTGATCCGTCATAGAAGGTGGAACCACGGTGGAGAACGCCGTGGGGAAGAGGAGGAAGAAGACGACGACGGAGAGGGGCATTTTCGTCATTATGCTTTGGAAAATGAGAATAACCAAGTTAAGCACACAACGAGTTTGGGATCATGGATATGGAGGAAACTGCTTAAATACAGAGATTTGGCAAAGATTTTTTGTAAGGTGGATGTGGGAAATGGTAAATTGATGTCTTTTTGGTATGACAACTGGTCGCAGCTGGGAATTCTTATGGACTCAACAGGTGCTAGAGGTGTCATTGATCTCGGGATAACCCGGAAAATGTCATTGGCAGAGAGGCTTTGAAAGACCGTAGACGGAGGAGACATAGAGTTGGTTTTCTAAACACGATTGAGGAAGTCATGGCACTGACCAAGCTTCTCCACAAGAGACTTAGAATCACACTAGGACAGTCTCAAATAAAGTGCCCTGGTTTAAGGGAGTCTGGTTCCCCCATGGAACTCCAAAGTTTTCGTTTTGTGTTTGGCTTGCAGTGCAAGACATACTTTCAAAAGGAGATAGGATGGCCAAGTGGAAGGTAGGGACATCGACAACTTGCGTCTTTTGCAACAACAACAGAAACCCGAGATCATCTCTTTTTTTCTTGTGGTTTCGTTTCAGGTATTTGGGCAGCTCTAGCCAAACCCATTCTCAAAGCTCGTTACACGGTCGATTGGCAATCACTTATCACCTATATCTCAGATCTACAACAGGATAGAGTGGAGAGCTTCCTTGCTCGATACACTTTCCAAGCTTCGGTATACATAGTATATAGAGAGAGAAATGGGAGACCACATGGTAACGATCCGAACCCGGCATCTCAACTTATAAAAATGATTGACAAACAAGTACGAAACCAATTTTCAGCCATCAGATCAAGCGGGGATAGGAGATATGAAAAAGGACTTCAACTTTGGTTTGCGTCGAGAAGCCAACTCTAGAACTCTCTTTCAATTTTCTGTTTCAGCTTAATAGTGTAAGTGTGAAACAACAAATAAGTCCAACAAGCCCATCAATAGAAGGTCCAACTGAAGAGAAAGGCCCAGCTCAGTCCAGTCAACAGAGAAGTCAACAGAAGAAGACAAAGTCTTCTTTAACTCAAGAACAGAGCAACGAAGGTACGGTGCAGAGAAGCTGCCTCAATGCGATGACTCATGACTGCCAGCTACACTAGCCGTTGAAGGATAAGATCGAGTGTGTTCTAGATTGTTCTGAGTATAAATTGATGTATATAAACACAAGTATAAAACCCTAATGTAATCTATCGAGAATAGAACAGTTTTACCAAAAGCTTAAACCTTTCTCTTCTCCTACAAATTTTTTTTAAACTTCGTTGCACTAGTTGTACAAACGTTCATTTTTCTTTTGAATATAATTTAACATTAGATTCAAAAAAAAAAAATACGCTATTTTCTCTTTGATTTTGTCTAATGTAAGATCTACGTAGTTTAGTTTGTTTGTTATGTCTCTAAATATCTATCATAAAAATTTCTGTTTTTTATATAAAAAAGTGATAAAAATAGAATTACTTAACGGTTATTTCTTGAGAAGAGGAATCTTACTGGAGAACTATGTGGATGTGAAAGATTAATGGGGAATTTGGAGTGGAATTTAAGGTAAGATTGGTCATAAAAGGGTTATGGCGTTCTTCAATGGAAGAAAATTGGCTTATGCATGTGTTTTCAGTTTAACTCTAATTAGGTCTTGGCGGATTTCAAAGTTCGAATATGACGACGACGAAGATTACAATTTCTCAGCATAATATACACTAAAACCTCTATAAATTAATAATGATGGAACCACAAAATTTTATTAATTTAAAAACGTATTAATTTATTGATAAATTATTAATTTATAGAGAGATTTTACTAATTTTGTAGTTTCTTAAAAACTTTCTATCTAAAAATAAATTTTTCTATATAAGCAATATCTTTTAAAATCTAATTACACGTAGAGAAACAATTATTAAGTTTAAAAAACAAAACAAACTTTTTTCGAATAATAGATTCATATTTGACTAAAAATTTTACATATAATATTATAAATATATATCATAGTATTTCATATATGACATATATAAATTTATATCATATATAATAAATTATATATATATATATATATATATTAATAAGTTTATACAATTATTAATTTACGATATAGATGAGACCATATGTTTATATGGGATTTTCAAAAAAATTATTATCTTATTAATTTATCGATTTTTGTCATATTTTACACGGGTCCCAACTCCGGACCGGAAGAATTTATTAATTTAGAGAGGTTATTAATTTATAGAGTATAAATTTATAGAAGTTTTAGTGTATATGCTGAGATTCGGAAACTTTAATTTCTGTTTTGTTATTAAAGTATTAAGCTCTCACTGGCTATATATAATCGAGCCTCTTCTTTCGCTTTTTTTTTTCTCGTTTGTTTGTGTGTAGAATACTTGCGTTTTTCCTACCAAATTGTGTGACGCCATGAAAGTGTTAAGAGCTTTTCCAGCATCAAGGTTCGTTTAGTGCATAAACTATGTTTAGTTTTGCTTAATGACGTTTAGTTATGTTCGCTTAAAGATATTAATTTGGTCCTAATATGAGAAAACAGTCAAAGTGGAATCATTCTCAAGTTTTTTTTTTTTTTTATGTTTGATATTCCACTTGTAGATTTTGACTTGGTAAAACTCTAACATGTATCATTCATGTAAGATTTGTTGCTAAATCTTGTGTCCCACTTCCTCTTTGTAAACTAGTTTTCTATTTTATGTCATGGACGGCCAAAATATATTGTATTCGAATGGACAAAGTCAGGTAAGGACTTGATCCAATGTAAATGTAAACTATAAAGTCATGTCTTAGTATCTAGAGATGATTCTATTACAAATATATTCAAATCTTATTTCTTAACAACATCATATCTCTTGAGAAAAAATGTATTTGTATGTTGGAGATATGATTTAAAGCATCAGCGTAAAAACTTGATGTGCTTTTAGCTTTGGCAGGTTCTTGATAAAAATTGTAATAAAAATGGGTACATGTATGTCAACTCATTCAAGAAGAATTAGGCCACGAAGGAAAGGTCGTCGGAGATTTCCAAAACACATTTCTAGAGTGTCTGATATTATTTCTCATCCAAATATTAGACGACTAAGTGATGTTGGAATCCAAACCTCTTTTGGTGAGTATCATTAGGATGAGAGTTGTGATATTGCATTTCTTGTTTATACAGAAAAAGATAGGTGAGGAATGTTGGATCTTCGGTTTTTGTTGCAGATATTTCTCAAAACGATGCGTGGTTTGATTCTTCAAGTCTTTTCTCTGACTCTGATGACGACTTTATTAGCCTACATGAAGGTAAATGTAAATCTACATATGAAATTTTTTGGTTGTCATTTTTTTTTTGTTTTTGGGTAATGAATATTTGATAGAGTCTATATTTGTTTCAGCTGATAATGTTTGGTTAGAGGGTGGTGTAATGGGTAATATTCCAAATGGTCAGGTGGTTCAGTTTGAGACTTCTTCATGCATTGTTGATGGAAATGGAAATTATGAAGAATACCATGAGAGTTACTTGAAAATTGATGGCGGCAATAAAATCGAGAAGTTTATGAGCAACGGTTTATACAAAGATACTAATAGTTTGTCTATTATCACTGGAAACAACAAGAATAAACAATTGGACCATACTTATAGAAGCTTTAAAGTATTGAAAGAAATAGACCCTAACCCTCAAGAAAAAACATTAAAATCCAATTTGAGCCGGTTGATGCCAACCGTTAGTTTCAACGACAAGACTCTAAACTCCCCCACATCTCAAAAGCGGAAGTCAGCGGTTTATCAGACTTCTTTCAAGAGGAGATCATGTGATGGTGAAGAAGTTACCGAGCATAGTAAGTTGTCAAATTTTTACTAAACCGTACAAACATTAAAACGTATATATGCATTGTTATGTGAGCCTGTAATTTTAACATGTATATTTTGAAACGGTTTTTATATGAAGGGTCGTCCAAAAGATTGTTGTACCGTCCCAAAGCCGGATACACCATTCCGTGCTATGCCAATGAGAAGCAGCAATCATCAGGAAGTTGGTGTGAGATACCTCCTTCAAACTTGAAATTACGTGGCGAAACTTATTTCAAGTACATTTCTTAACTTCTCTCTTTATTTATACATATATGCATTTAAGCGGCTATAAGTAGATGTAAGCTGTTAATACAATGATAAATTTGTAGAGATAAACGAAAATATCCGGCTCCAAACCAATGTCCATACACTCCAATTGGTGTTGACTTGTTTGTGTGTCCAAAAAAGATTGATCATATAGCCCAACACATTGAACTTCCCAACATCAAAGCCGAGGTGAAGTTCCCTGCTCTTTTGATTGTCAACATCCAGGTAAAAACCACTAAATAAAGTTCCTTTAGAACAATAGATGTGTTTCAAGGCTCTAATAAGTCTGGCTTTTGTAGTTGCCAACTTATCCAGCCGCAATGTTTCTCGGTGATAGTAATGGAGAAGGCATGAGCATTGTACTTTATTTTAAATTAAGAGAAAATTTCGAAAAAGAAATCTCTCAACAATACCAAGACAGCATCAAGGTTAACCATCAAAAACATAAAGAACGTTCCTTTTTTCTTAACTTTCTTGTGAATGCACTCATTGATCGTTATATATGGTTTGTTTGCAGAAACTAGTGGAGGATGAGATGGAAAAAGTGAAAGGGTTTGCAAAAGACAACATTGTTCCATTTCGTGAACGGCTTAAAATCGTAGCCGGATTAGTTAACCCAGAGGAACTCAGCCTTAGTTCTACTGAAAGGAAGCTTATACAAGCTTACAATGAAAAACCCGTGCTTTCTCGCCCTCAACACAACTTCTTCAAGGTTTTAATAGAACAACAGACTCTTTTCTAACCGATAAAACACCATTTGGTCTCCTAATCATGATTGGTTTGGGCTCTCTCTGTCCAGGGTCCTAACTACTTTGAGATTGATTTGGACGTGCATCGGTTTAGCTACCTCTCAAGAAAAGGGCTTGAAGCATTCAGAGATCGACTTAAAAATGGAACTCTTGATCTCGGCTTAACTATCCAAGTAATGTTTTTGTTATCATCTTTTATAAGACACTATTGTTGTTGAAGAATGTAGAGAATTATATAAAAACTTGTTTTTGCAAATAGGCTCAAAAACAAGAGGAGTTACCAGAAAAGGTCTTATGTTGTCTAAGATTAAGCAAGATTGACTTTGTTGACAACGGTCAAATTCCGACACTTTTAATTCCTGAAGAAGGAGAATCTCTTGTTTGAAAACTCCCTTTGTGATCTTCAATATTGGATAAAGAAATAACAAGAAAAATCTGAATTTTGTTTTGCCGAATTTGTTGTGTATTGTTTGCCAATGTTGTAATAATGATATATGTTCTTTCCGTTTATAATCATGGATTAGAACACCTTAAAGTCATCTTCTTGAGTTTGTCCTTTGTTGCAACTTGTAGTCTTGTACACTCTCTTTTTAATTCAGTTCTATTCTTGCGTTTATGTGTTGTAAACTTCCAAGTCTCTTTTGTAATCTTAACTCAAGAAAATAATATAAAACTTGTAGCTAACAATTATATTTGAGGTCTATTTTTAACGAGATGTGTATAAGGGTCAAAAAGGCAAGAATAAAACTACCAGGGTAATCCAAAAAAATGATAAAGTGTTGATAAGGATGTGTATATTATTAGAGTCCAACATTGGAAATCGGCGAAATTCTTTGGGCAATATATAAGTGTGCGGCTATCCTCCTCTTTTGAAATAGTTTTTGTATGTGAGTTAGGACCACACTAATATATACTACAAGAAAACAAAGACCAGAAAAATTGTTCGAAAAACGTTAGAAATGAACGTTTCCGAGCGATTTTCCGTGGAGGTATTTTATTTAACCGAAGATTCTCTCTATCTATCAAAATTCAAAGACATGGTTTGTTCTATAAAATAAACTCTGGATTATGGAACAGATTTGTAGTATTTGAAATTAAATGTGGTGTTTCTCAGTTTTATATTTAGTTTTTTTTTTCCCTTCATTTTCGAGGTTTTTAACCATTTCATTATTTAAAAAAGCTCTACTGGCTCTAGTAATAATGAGAATATTCTTGAAAGAAAACAAAATCTTAAACGAGGCAAAAATGCCATGCTTGTTATAAACCATATGGATGGACTCCATAACCGGCCCATGACCCATTAGGGTTTTACCTTATTCTCTGTATCCTGCTATTATCCTTGTATATATAACCTTTATACTATTAATGAAAGACATAGTTCACAACACGTTATCAGCACGATAGCCTCTTACCCTAAAAAATTAAAAAATCCCGAAACCCTAAATCTCTCTCACAAAAACCAAAACCAAAACCCTAGTTGTCTCTGCAAACAAAATTTTAAACTCTATCGAGATAAGTTTTCTGTTCATATTTGTTTCTGCACGAATTTTGCACGGATTATATGTTATCAATTTTGTCTGTATTTCTGCATGAATTTTGCACAGATGATCTGTTGTCAATTCTGTCTGTAGTTTTGCACGAATTTTGCACGGATTATATGTTATCAATTTTGTCTGTATTTCTGCACGAATTTTGCACAGATTATCTGTTGTCAATTCTGTCTACAGATTTGCACAAATTTTGCACGGATTATTTATTATCAATCCTGTCTATATTTTTGTACGATTTATGCACTGATTATATGTTATTGATTCTGAACTGTTTTATGCAGTATATTACAGAAACCCTATTTTTCTTTTTACTAATGTAATAGCCATGTTTCTATGAGCAAAATTTTGAGTTTCTCAGGAATCAGGATTATATATATTGAGATTTTGTAGGAGGTCCCAACCAGCTAAGAGACATAACTGTTTCCAATCTCCGTATCAGATCTCGGGTCTCTGTTTCAGTTCTCCAATTAAGATAAGTGCTATTTATTTATTATGCTTTATATACATGATCCAATTAAAGTTTGATAAGATAAAAATTTGCATGACAATTGGCACATGTGATTTGATTTATGATTGGAGAATTAATTGAGAAGTTAGTGAATGGAAAGATGTTTAATGGCATGATAGATTGAATGTTTTAATATAAACCCTAGGTTAAACCGAAAGTAAACCGAAACCCTAAATCATAGGTTAAATCGGTTTAATAAACCCTAAGTCACGGTTTAAGATCAAGCTTCCTATAAATGGAAAGTTTCCAGAAATAGAAAGTTCCATATATAGAAAGTTTCGTAAAATAGCAAGTTTCCCAAAAAAAAAGGTTCCCTAAAATAGCAAGTTTCCCAAAATAGAAAGTTACCAAAATAGGGAACCCCTTCATTAGGAAATATTCCAAAACCCTAAAGTACACGTTTGTTTAGGATTTCTTTCTAGATGAGAAATAGAAAGTTTCCATAAATGGAAAGTTCCATATAAGGAAAGATTCCATAAATAGAAAGTTCCATACATAAAACCGAAATCCTAGCAAAAAAAAAAAAAAACCCTAGTACTATAAATCGTGGATGCTAAAACCCTAAAACTTAACCGCGAAATTCTAATATCCTAATCTAGTATGATCCGATTGTTTGGTTGTTGCATACTAGATCAATCTTCTAGGGTTGATTTCATCCATATATATATAACATGATTGTTTAGAAAACACTTGCTGAAAACAAGCATGGCTCGGTCTTAAATACCGCATGACTTGGTCTAACCGATTACATGAGTTCTCATTTAACTCTATATATTATAGATATCAGAAATCAACTATTATGAATACACGGCACTTAATGCCTCTGATGACAATTATTTACAATGGGCTTTGGACACTGAGATTGTCCTAAAGGAAAAAGGGCTTGGTGAATCTATTATGGAAGGAAACAATGTCACCAGAAGAGAAAGATATAAGGCGATTACTAACATACGCCATCACCTCAATGAGAGTCTCAAAATCAGTACCTCACTATTAAGAATCCTCTGGACCTCAGGACAGAGTTGAAAAAAAAAAATCAATATAACCACCAAAGAACGGTGCTATTAGCCAAAAGCCCGATTCGATCGGAAGAATCTCAGATTCCAGGAATTCAAATCCATGAATGAGTATAACTCAGCACTATTTAAAATAGTGTCAATACTGAGATTCCGTAGTGAGGAAGTTACTGAGAATGACTTGCTAGAGAAAGCATTCTCGACCTTTCACACAAACAATATATTGCCTCAGCAACAATATCGTGAAAAAGGTTTTTACCACATATGCGAGTCTAAAATCTTGTTTTGCTACTTGCTGAGCAAAATAATGAGTTATAAATAGTGAAATGAGACCTCCTGGTCCTACCCTATTATCAGAAGCCCATTGGGCTGAAGAGCCTAAAGAGCCTAAAGAGACTAAAGAGTCTAACCACGTCCAAAGAGATAAGTATCATGGCCACAGTCATGGTAAATGGAATGAACATGGTAGAAGTGGCAATTATAATTTATATGATCAAGGAAACCATTCATATGGTTAAGGCCGCCAACCCGACTTTGGTCGTAATCGAGGTAGAGGCCACGGTATACCCAAACCACAAGACTCAGATAAACTTGTTTGCCACTGATGAGGAATGGGGAAACCATTGGACTAAGACGTGCAGGACACCTAAGCATCTCGTTGATCTCTATCAAGAGAGTTTGAAAAGAATCTAGAAGCTCATTTAGTTCATCACGATGGTGAAGAAGATTTCGACCATGAGATAGATGACTATGAGAATTTAATAAACAAAAAATATCTAAAGACATGGTTCATTAGCCAAATTGCGGGTATAGCTAAATTTAGTGAAGGCCCATGGCAGGCCCATATTCCCAAGGGCACACATCCTCAGATGCTTCATATTCACCCAGCCCAAAGGGGCTTGTTGAGTTTCAAAGAAATGTGTTTGAATGGTTTCCACATTGAAACTAAGGGTGAAGGGAACAAAGGATTCCCATATATTACTAAGAGCACCCAAGACCATGAGAAGGTCTTAGAGACTATACCCGCGTCATAGAATTTTACTATTTCAAGGTCAATGTGATAAAGGCTAATAAAGTAAACAAAAGGGTTTACTGAGAAATTCACTAATGGCATGACCGGCTTGGCCAGCCCGGTTCGAATATGATGCGTAAATTAATTCAAAGTTCTAAAGGGCACACCCTTAAAGAAAACCGAGTTTTCCCTGAGCACCACACGTGCATAGCCTGTTCACAAGGGAAGCTTATCACTCGACCTTCACCAGTCAAAGTGTCTAAAGAGACCTTATATTTTCTGGAACGAATTCAAGGAGACATATGTGGTCCGATCCATCCACCTTGTGGAACATTTCGCTACTTCATGGTTTTAATCGATGCATCGACCCGCTGGTCGCATGTTTGTCTTCTAGGAACCAAGCGTTTGTTAGGTTATTGGCCCAAATCATCAGATTGCGAGCCTATTTTCCAGATTTTCCTCTTAAGACCATACGTTTAGATAATGCTGGTGAATTCACTTCCCAAGCATTTAATGACTATTGTATGGCCATGGGGGTAAGTGTGGAACATCCTGTGGCACATGTCCATACACAGAACGGATTAGCTGAATCCCTCATTAAACGAATTCAACTAATTGCTCGACCATTACTCATGAGGTCGCAGCTTCCGGTCTCAGCTTGGGGACATGCAGTTTTAGACGCTGCTGAACTAATATGCATTCGGCCATCTAGTGAGCATAGATATTCCCCATCCCAATTGCTAACGGGTCATGAGCCAGACGTTTCCCATCTAAAGACATTTGGGTGTGTCACCTATTTACCCATAGCACCACCACAAAGAGCAAATGATGGGACCTCAAAAGGGGATGGGAATATACGTTAAAAAAGATTCTCCCACCATCATTAAGTATCTCGAGCCAAAGGCCAGATACAAGGATTGTCATCTCAATGAATCCGTTTTCCCAACACTGGGTGGAGAGACTAACAAGCTGGTCAAAGAACTTATATGGAATCAAACATCCTTCACATGGCAAGATCCTCGGACTCCATCAGAGATCCAAAAGACTATATATCTACAAAAGCTAGCTAAAACAGTTGCCAAGATTCCTATAATGACCCAAAGAGAGTAACAAAATCGTACATACCAGCTTGTAATGCACCAGTACATATTGATGTTCACAAGGAACACAATCAAGTTGCTACAGAGGCTACAACACGTAAGAAACGTGGTAGACCCAAAAGGTTCCAAAGACAAGAACCCTCGAAAATCAAAGAAAGGTGCAAGGGAAACCGAGAAGGTTCAAGAAACCATAGACATGGCCGGCTAATAGACATAACCCTAAGGTACCAATCAATGAGATTTGGGACGCCAAACCTCAAGGTCCTGAAGGTGTAAAGAGATCTCTATAAACTATATCATGTCTAGAATACAATAGAACCGAAAAGATGTCGACATCAATGATAATATATTTGCGCATAAGGTAGCAACTGAAATGAATGAGGATCAGGAGCCCACGTCTATACTAGAGTGCACTCAAAGACCTGATTGATTAAAATGGTACAAGACCATAAAACGTGGAGCTAATAATCATTAAGAAGAAGAATGTGTTTGGTCCAATACGAAGGACACCATTCAATGTAAAGCCAGTGGGACAAATGAGTCTTTGTGATTATGTGAAATAAACATAGTGAAAGCGTGATATATCAGACACGGCTTGTCGCACAAGGATTCACACAAAGACCAGAAATAGAGGAGATATACTCCCCTGTGGTGGATG